CACCTGAAATGCCATAATCTGTGAGACAACAACCGTATCAGCGCAGCAACAAAAGAGCTTAACTTCAATTCTTCTATTATAACGATTAATAGAGAAACCCAAACCTTTTTTTTTCAAAGCTAGGTCCCGAACATAATTTACTGGTAATTTTCAAATACAAACTATGGACCACCACCAATGGAGTTAAGCTCTGATAAGCTTTCAAAGAAACAATGTTTAACTTTATTCAATAATAGCAAACTGATCAAAACAGAACAGCAGAATGCAATCTGCAAAGCGAAATGGAGTACTGGTACGCAACACTATCATAATTGAAAAATAACCAACAAATTCAAAACCAAGTTAAATTTTAAATCTACGTTACACCCATCAAGTTACGCTTGCCGCACTCCAGCTTACATAGTTAACAACAAGACGTTCCCCTCTACACTTAAACATTCCTTGTTTTATACATCAACAGCCCTTTAGACACGAACTAAACAATATCATTATCACTCAAGAGGAGCCAAACTTACTTTTAACAACAAATACAGACATTACAATTACTGTTATAAGAATACTTTGTTACTTTCAAACTGTTATTATAAAAGAAGGCTACGACATTTTTCAAACTAATAAATGTGTTGTGACATTCAAGGAAGAGACAATACAGTAACAAAGTATACCCTTTAGAATATTCTTGCTCCAAACCCAAAAGTACGGCAAATGCTTTCTAAGTAAAAGTGCCTTAAACCATTCTCGGTATCTTCCTTCAAAGACGACGGGACGTTACTGGCGTAAACTGTCAGGTCAGTACTATCCTTCTGTAAGTTTTCATAACTGATTATCTTCAAAATTTTTGTACAATAGATGTGTGATACTCAGTTTACGACTGGTGCCTTCATGTATTCGAGTTAAAAAAAAATTATTCCAGCGATCAGAAGCTGGAAATTGGTGAGTAGATTTGAAGACTCCCATGATTCTAGATAACAATGAAACGAGAGTTCCAAAAACCCGCTAATAAATTTACTGGGTTACCTCATCTCTAAAAACGAAACGAACGTTGGCAAAGTGACCAGGTGGATATTTTTTCAAGCGCCAAGCGGTTTCTATTTCTTTATTCAACTCCTGAAAAACGGTTGCCCATAAAATCAACTGTAAAACAAAGAACGAACAAGGGCGCTCAAATGTCAAAAAAAAACCAAAGTGATTCTAATGAGATAACTTCACCCTAAAATTAAAAAGATCGTAAACAATTTCATTTTAGTCGTCTGGACTATTCTTTAGTGTTCCAACCCATTCTGGAAAACAAAAGCTTTTTATCGTACTGGCCATTTAATCCTGCTTGACTTAATTTCGAGAAACATAAAGTGCCAAATGCTACCAATATGCCATTAGCAAAAAAGTGAAGCAAACTCCTTTTTACTACCATTGTCACCACATTTTTGTATGCAAGGTAACGACATTTTTAACGACTGGCTCACGAAAAAAAATACCACAAGCAAATAATAATTAAACTTAAGAATGAATCTTCTCACTGCTATTATTTTGAGAGTAATGAAGGACCAGGGAAACTTGTTCTGGAAAACAAAACAGAAGTGCTAAAAAGGACTTAACTGAGGACTGCAAGCAATATAAAATAAAAAAAAAGGAATTTTTTTGGTAAAAATTTGAACCATAAATCTCATTAAAAAATAAAACTATAAATGATAAATGAATAAAGTTCCCTAGTAGCTTATTCTGAACAAAATCCGCAGAAAAGGCAAAAATTTAAATAAAATAGAGTAAGCCAGACTGCGTGGCCAACTGCTCTTTCAATTTTCGTTCAATCTATCAAAACTATGCAACGGCAACTAACTAATAGTAAATTTCCTGAAAAAATAGCTAAAACATCTACAAATTCTGATATAAATCCTAGTTGCCACTAAGCCATCTTAATATGAATGTGTACAATTCCGAATCTCAAATTCCATTTTTTCAACAATTATTTGAACAGATAGGCTTAACTAACGAATTGTGGAGTGGAAGAATCCATTCTGAAAAATGCATTCTTCCAACCAGAATCTCCCAAGAATTCAAAAACAACTTCTTAGCCCAAAACAACCATGCATAAAAGTTTGCAGTCTTATTCCTTTTAAGTGAACGGCTTTTCGATCCATTCAATAATCAGCCCTTCCGAAGATACTTAGACAGCAATTTATTTCCTTGAATTTAGCTCCGGAAAATTTTTTACATCAAACGTTAATGTTTCTCGGAAAACCATAAAAGAGCCATTCCCAAGCTTTCCTAATAAGGATTTCATTTTTCTCAGCTTTACTTCTTTTCCTTGTTGTACTTCTTACTTCATAATGAATTTTGTCAATATTTTCCATTAAATTCATACGCATAAAATGCACCTTATGCAATCAAACAATATAAAAACAAGTAAAGCTCATAATGAGTAAAAATTACCAGACGCAGAAATCTTCCAGTTACCATCCCGTTGAAAAGTGAAAACTGTCCACCTGTCCTAAGATCACTTTGAACTGCAGAATTAGTCCATTTTTTAATGAACTAAAAGCGTAAAAAATGAGAAAGAATCTAGAAAAACTAAAAATGGCATCAAAGAGATAAAATATTTCAAAAATGTTCTGAAAAAAAAAAAACAATTGGAGAACTCAGTTAAAAAAGAAGTTTCATACTTCGGGGTTCGTGAAGACATCCCATAAACGATCGGGTTGGACCTTGAAATTTTCCGTAATATCAAAGGACTCTACACTGCCAACTAAAAACTTCCAATTCAGATTATTAATGCAAAAAAGTCAAACAAAAGTTAAATGTGAGCGTACCTGACGTTTGAACGGAATTATCAGACTTCGAGTCACCCGGCGTTAACTGGAATAAAAGATATGGTCAAATAACAGTATAGTTACCTATTCACAAAGTAATCTGCTGACAATATAAACGAAGAAAACTAATGACGCTTTCCAAAAGAATTTTTCACTGGTCTGCCTTAACAGACAAGAGCTTCATGGAGACAAAGAACTCACAATATAGTCTTGGAAGGACTTTTTGTTTATGGTAACACCAACGACGGTTTTGTTTTTCTTTATTTCTTGCGGTTTAGTTTTATCAGTCGGTAAAATAAGTCCTTTGCTAAATTCTTCCTTAAGTTCCCGTAAATATATTTCGACTTGTTTCCTAATAAACTGGGTAGCTTCTGTTTTCAAAAACTGACGCACTTCCTCCTCCTTAACGCCAGATTTTTCCAAATGTATCTCAACCTAAAAAAATGGAGAGTAATCTAAACAGAATTAGCACAGCTGAGAAGTTAGGAAACATCAATGAGAAATTAGACTTTCAATAATCGACATTTTAAAAATATCAGTTTTATAGTTGTTACCTCAACTTCACTAGCATCATTTTCGTCGCTAAGGTTCGGAATTTCAACGTACCCTTCATAGGTAACTTCTGAGCCAGCAATTTTCACTTAAACAAAAAAAAAAATAAACAACACTGTGCACAGATCATAAAAAACGAGACAAACAGCTGTTGCTAATCATTCTAAAGCCCTATATCATCGCCAGTATCCTGCTCATTGAAATGTTATATATATATATATATATATATATATATATATAATGTACGAAATAGAAGAAACTGAGAAAACGCTTCTTAAAAAAGTAACCTTCAAACTCAAGATCAATAATCCATTCAAAAAGAAAAATTAATTTCGCTTTTCGATTATTTGCAGTAGCTTCTCCTTCAATCTTTTTCATCTTCGTAAAAGTCACAACTAGCGGCCCACCTTCCACCTTCTGGTTAACTAACAGTTCACCAAGCCGTTGTTTAGACCATGGCGTAGCATTTTTTTCCGTCCTAAATTAGTTTCGTGCAGTAACTAAAAAATTTAAAGAAATATGGCAAACGAATGCAGTTCAGCGAAAGACCTACTTACCAGTGCCAATTATTAACATTTACACCGTCAGGGCGATCTTCGACTATCCACCGTGGATCACCTTCACCCCATTTAGCCATTGTGTCCGTATAAGACTTAAAAAAAAAGAATCAATAAATGGTAACTTAAAAGTAAGTTCCAGCTCCCAATTTTATCCCATTAGCACAGAAATTTAAGACAATAACAATGTTTTAACACCTCATACAAAAACCTTAAATAAAAAACTTAAAAAAAAAATAAAATTCTATTTTCGAAAAAAATCTACTGGAAAGAATGGTAAATGATAAACTTATACAGAAAAAAAGGCGAACAATTAACAAATACATAACACAACAAAACGTTTTGGTACTCCACAATTTTTTTATCTAGTCTAACCCAAGAAAAATTTGAACAAAAAGTTCGAACTCATACGAAGAAAATGACTTTCAAACCTATCAAAAAAAAAAAAAGACACCAGGCACTGTTCACTTTCGGTCTGACAAACAATTTCGCTTTTAAAAGTTTCCAAAACCTGTTCTGCCTAAGAAATATTAACAGTTCGTCTGTGCGGTGTATTCCCCAGAAGGCTCTATAGTTAAAGTCTACAAATTGAAGTGTAAAATAAACTAATAATGAGAGGAAAAATGAGCAGAAGAAACTACACAGACTAACTTTGTAGCGAGACACCGAACAAAACCTACTAATCTTTTGAACAAAAATAATAAAATTGAGGATAACAAATTGTCTTCAATTCCCTGTCCACTGCCATCGTCGAATAGTTATTAAGACCAATGAAGCAAGAATGTTTAGAAAAATGTCCATTTTGAACTCATCCCAAAAAGAATCATTACAAAAATGTAAAAGTTATTAAAAAAAACAAAGCTTCTTTAACCATGAATTTGAAGATAACCGGTATCCTATGTGAGATAAAAATATAAACTTAAAATTAACATGCAGCGAAGTGAAAAATCTACGAACTTAATGACTAAGAAAGGAATTCTGTACAAGAGAAACTGATAGAAAAATAATAGTAGCCTCAGAACGGTCTCCAGTCACTGTAAGCTATTCTTCTATCACTTTAAGATTTAACTGCACTGATGACCAGTTACCAACAAAATTTACACAGGCCTCTGGTAAGCCATTAATTCCAAAAAAGTGAAATTAAGCTATAGTGGATTGCGAAACTGAATAAGTGTATGGATAGCAGCAAATGAAAAAACGGTTTCAGCTAATCTCGAGTTTCAATGAAGCACTCGTATGAATGTCAGAAACTTTCTTTACACAGCTACGTAACACTTGAGTTACGTTCTCCTGCGATGTCCAAGAATTGTTTCTCAGTGGTGTTCAACAAAAAACTGATGCTCGTTCAAGAAACGAATAAAAAATCAAGATGATATTTCAAAAGTCATTTTGAAAAGCCAATAAAAATTATTTAATCGAAATGCTAAAAGTTCTTTGTAGCAAAACTTATTTTCTACCTATTTCTACGACACCCATGGACACTGAGCTACCTTAAAAATGTGGACAATAGCTATCGGCACTAATTAGCGTAAATAAGGATAAAATAGATATTGATTATAGCACGATATAATATGAAAAAGAAAAGGGAAAAGTAAACTACACAACAATCACCTGGCCCTTCAATGCTGGGTCACTGGATGACGATTATTGCCTTCCCTCAAAGCTTCGAGAAATTTCGAGACAAAACTTTGGATTGTTCAGTGGATGGATTCTTAAGTGAGCAAAAACGAATATAACGCTGTAAAATTATCAACCAATTTCGGGATTTGTTCCAAGCTGCCCATTATTTCAAATTGCATTCGTTTATTTTGTTCCGTTCTAAAATTGCAGCTAAATAATAAAATAGAAAATATTGCTTGTAGATTACATACCTAACATTCTCCTTTTCCAGTTACTTAGTGTAAGATACTGTATATACACTAAAAAAGTTCTTTTTCTTTTCCACAACTTAGTACGATACTGTACGAATATGTATATGGAATATGATAGGAAGTAAACTGCTTATTCAAAAGCAACAACAGAATTCTAGTATTTTTGCACGCCTAGGAGGCCAAAGTAAGTTTAGTTCACTTGAAATAAATACAGCTTTATATAT